GCGGCGGGGGCCCCCAGCTGCGGCCACCAGTGTGGCAGCCCTCTGCCATGGGAGGGGCACGGGCAGGAGGCAACAGGGGTCTGGAGGGGACTGCTGAGGGGTTCCTGCGGCAGGTGGGGTGCCGGTGGTAGAGCGCGGTGTCTTGGTCCCTCCCTTCCTTACAGCACCACCACGCAGGCTTGGGGACCGAGGTCCGTGCCCAGTCCCAGGGCGGTGCAGAGCCTGGACCCAGGCTTGGCAAAAGGGTGTGCTGGGGCCCCAAACTGTCACTTGTGGTGCGGCTTTGGGTGCAGCCAGTGGAGAACCGGCAGCACTGAGGCCCTGCTCTGCCAAAAGCTGGGAGAAGCATGTGGGGTCAGGGATGGTAGAGCAGAGATCCACGACTCCATTGCCCCGGAGGCCGTCTGTGCCTTGGGACTAGATGACCCTCAGTCGTCTGCAGCAATCTTTTTGCCAGAGCAAACCACTCAGGCTCCTTGCTCGCCGGGACAGCCCACCATTCCCTGTCCACCTCTGCCGGCCCCCCCCAGCTTCAAGTTCACTGTACTGTGCACGGGGACCAGCTGGCCCCAGCACTCCTGACCCACCCTGTCCCCTCCCCAGCGCATGCCTCTGCTGTGCCCATCTTCGATTTTGCCAGAGCTGTGCCTCCCTCTGGGGCTGTGTCCCTGCATTGTCCCATGATGCCCAGTGTTGACACATCTCCCCGCCCCACCCCAGCACTCTGCTGAGTCCACCAAGGGGCCCAGTTCAGCACAGGACTGCTGCTACCAACTCCCGAGCTGGAGCAGAAAGGGCTGAACGTTTGTCAGTCGGGGGTGGAAAGCCACCAGACCTCACAGAGTGGGCAAGAAGCAGAACAGAGGCTGCACTGGAGGACCAAAAGGCAGCACACAGAACAGCTGTCCCAGCAGGAGGTGGGTTGCTTTATTGGCCTTTATCTCCTTGGCTGCAGATAACACTCACAGGGCAACTCATGGCAAGAAACAGTATATACAGAGTGTCCATATAAATATTTCCAATGTACATTTTATACACAAGTGACAGAGACGTTCCACAGCAGCGTCCAAAGCCTTGGGGTTCCAGCGCTTAGCTGCAGGCTTGGCCCAAAACCATAGGGAGATGCTCGTCTCCTCTCTCTTGCTCAGCCGGAGACCAG